GTTGATAGAATTCACCTACGCAAATCCTGTAGGTGAATCTATTTGCAAAGTGCATATCAATCACCTACTAAACATTCATTTAAACAAAAAAACCAAAATAATTTCTCCATTCTTGATGTAGGACAACTAGCTTTGGAGTTTGAAAAAGTGCTGGACAGAAAATTGACGAAGAAAGACCACGCCAAGGGCAATTTTGTCATTTGTCATGACGGTGTCGGAATGGGCTGAAATTTGGCTGGTTGATTGGAAACGGTCCGAAAAATTGGACTCGAGACTTCCCGAGATCTCGGAATTTTAGCCAAATTCCTTCGTTTAGGCATCCGAATAATTAATTTCCATATTTCTCGTTTTGAATTTTTGCTATTTTTGGAACGTTTACTATTATATGTTTTTAAAGTTTCTTGTAATGCCTATTTAAAGGTTTTTGAACGTTTTCGGCATAATTATTAATGGCATACAAGTTTATTTCTTGAAGAATTCCAGTTTTTTTATTTTCAAGATTTATGCTGGTAAATCTTTTACTTCTGTTCTGCGTCAATTCTCCTGCTGATAATAGGGCCACAGTACAAGAAGTTGAGTGGAGTATGGATTTTGTGGCTTCCCCAAAGGTAAATCAAATAAGAGAACCCAAAATAATTGAATTGCAGCAATAAAGGTTATAAACATATCTCGCACCCATTTGTTACATAATTGCTAGTTGTTATATTGTGTATTTGTACTTTAGTTGACCACCCCAAGCTTGGATGGAGTTTGAGCAAAGTAGAGATGAAAAGAGCTAGGCTCGAAACAATCAAGTTGGTGTACTAGCAGGTGAGATAAAAAAAAAAAAATCATTAAGATACTCAAAAATTCTAAATACTTTTCTGTTATACTTNGTTGATAGAATTCACCTACGCAAATTCTGTAGGTGAATTTGTTTGCAAAGTGCATATCAATCACCTACTAAACATTCATTTAAACAAAAAAACCAAAATAATTTCTCCATTCTTGATGTAGGACAACTAGCTTTGGAGTTTGAAAAAGTGCTGGACAGAAAATTGACAAAGAAAGGCCACGCCAAGGGCAATTTTGTCATTTGTCACGACGGTGTCGGAATGGGCTGAAATTTGGCTAGTTGATTGGAAACGGTCCGAAAAATTGGACTCGAGACTTCCTGAGATCTCGGAATTTTAGCCAAATTCCTTCGTTTAGGCATCCGAATAATTAATTTCCAGATTTCTCGTTTTGAATTTTCGCTATTTTTGGAACGTTTACTATTATATGTTTTTAAGGTTTCTTGTAATGCCTATTTAAAGGTTTTTGAACGTTTTGGGCATAATTATTAATGCCATACAAGTTTATTTCTTGAAGAATTCCAGTTTTTTTATTTTCAAGATTTATGCTGGTAAATCTTTTACTTCTGTTCTGCGTCAATTCTCCTGCAAATAATATAGCCACAGTACAAGAAGTTGTGTGGAGTATGGATTTTGTGGCTTCCCCAAAGGTAAATCAAATAAGAGAACCCAAAATAATTGAATTGCAGCAATAAAGGTTATAAACATATCTCGCACCCATTTGTTACATAATTGCTAGTTGTTATAGTGTGTATTTGTACTTTAGTTGACCACCCCAAGCTTGGATGGAGTTTGAGCAAAGTAGAG